GGGGGGGGGGGGGGGGCAGTTGCCCCCTGTCTCATACGCGCGCCTATGTTTGTGATGACATTAAACAGAAGAACTACAGAAAAAATAATGGAGCTAAGTTTGTGCTTTGCTGATAAATAATTAAACAGTTTGAGAAATATTTAGGTAAAATTACCTCATGTGCTCTTGATGGCCATTTGGACGAACTTATTGTGTTAGGATAAATCTCCTGCCTAAAAAAATACAGACCATTGTAGGAATTTATAATTGCAGATAATAGCTGCCGTGGTATTAAACCATACTTGGAGAGTTATCAATAAAGACAACGAGAACGAGCTCATCAACAAAAGCATCTTTACTCTGAGACAAAGGCGACTATAATTTGCATTCCTTGAGCATTCTAAGACGCTGTAGTTGTTCAAATTGCAACGTTATTAAACTTTTTTATTTCATCATTTTCACGGCACATTGGGGTGTTTATGTGAATTCACTTCTTATTGCTACTTCAAGTAGTTTCAGGGTTGTTTAAAAGAAGGATAACTGCTTTTAAAAGTTTAGTAATGTATGTTTTGGCTCGAATACAAAAGTATAAGCAATTATAGTTTTGTGTCGTCGCTGTTGTTGGTCCAACTCGCTAATTCTTGGGTTGCACTTGACGTCATGTCGGCCATGTTGGAGGAACTTTAACAAAAGAATGTCATTCGCAGCTATTGCATGTATATGGAGCATTTTGTCGTTCAACATGACCGCCATGTCTTTGTCTCATAAATCTCAAGGGTTGATTGCAACACACCAATTGGTGAGCTAAGTTCCAATGATCTGTAGATGAACCCTGGTCTTCACTCTACACCTCCAAGCTAGTGTGCCTAGTCCTTTTCACTCTGGTGTTCATGCAACAACAGATTATTATTTTCTATGATACAGATGGATTTTTTGTAAATGGAACTTTCTAAAGTAAATTTTCTATTGCTAATTGTTTTAGTATAATGTCAGTATTGAAAACGTTTTATTTATAAATACAACTATAATTACACGTGTTAATTTTATGAATATAATTTGCACAAACAATTCACTTTCGATTGATTTTCAGCCATTTTTTCGGGAAAAGCAATAGTTACTGCTCAGAGCTGTCTGGGCGGTAACTATTGCCCGAGGGAGCCAATCAGAATGCTCAAAGGCTATTTTTTCAATACTGAAATTATACTAAACACCTTTAGAAAAAAAAGAGCAGTTGCGAAAATGCAACTATATAGGCCCATCCGCAGGAATCGGCCCTGCGATTCTGACAGTGTTTATAAAAAAATCCGTGTGAAAAAAAACCCATGCCCAAAATCTCGATATTATTTCCTCTGTGATATCTCAGTCTAACGTTCCCATCTTTTTACCAGTTGTGAGTGATTTAATGACTACGACTACTGGTGTTATCTCGAAATTATAAAATGAATTATTAACCTACAAGGCAGTCTACATCTGCTGATGCATTTCAGGCGATCTGCATGGAAGAGGTTCCTGACAATTTCCACGCATTCTTCTAGACAAAATTACCAATCACTCGTTACACGAGCCACAGGCGAGTGTTTTTTAATTTTTTCCGAAAGTCCGGTGCAACAGTGGTCTTTTAACAACATTTAACTGCATTGAAAAACGGTTAACATTTAATCATGATTATTAGCATACTGGATGCTGATTGGTTGAGAGGAGTACAATTATTTTATTAATTGTACTGCAATACAATTAATGATTTTCCAAAAACAAACAAAATGGCGGAAAGGTATTTAAACACAAATGAAATTGCCAGCAAAATAACTAAAATGAAAATACAAACAAAAGCACCAAATTTTGGTTGAAAGTCTGGCAGGACTAAGCTTTGGCGAGAGAATATGATGTTGACATTGAGAATTATCCAATTTTGTCATTTTGTAAATCAGTGGCGGCTCTTGCAATTTTGGCAAAATTTCAAACATCACTCGTACTATTAATGCCTAATTAACTCGCCATTGCATAATTACTGATACTAAAACGTTAACATTATTTAAACATTTTCTAATCGGTTAACTTTATTATATCTTTATTAATTTTTATGTTAACTTGTCTCTCGTTTAATATACTGTTAACTTCGAATATTAAAATGATTTCATTGTCCGACATCTTAAAAAGCCCGCGCCAAGGCAATTATATTTTCCATGCAGGATTATCTGATCCTGTTCGGGTATCTATGGTGTTGACCAATGAAGTAGCGATTTTCTCTGTGGTAATATTATGTATCATAGGTACTGTATTTCCAATACTTACTGTCTTTCTTGTTCAATATATCACAAGGCGAGTTTCCTGAAGGAAAGGCAGCCCCAGAACATTTGCATATAAACCATTGACTGAGTCCAAGGCAAGAGTTCAAACATGCATAGGCAGAAAGCAGTAGCAAAAAACTAAACCATAGTGTCATAAAATCTTTAAAAGTGGAACAGCATCGGTCGTGCTATGTAAATGCAAAGATTCTGAACCTTCTTTGGTCTCTTTGGGAAACATTTTTGATCAGCTTGTGCAACAAAAAAAACACACCTCTAACACACCTCACACACCTCTAACACACCTCTTGTGCTAAATTCCTTTGGCTTTGGAAAAGTTAGTAAAGTCTTCCTAGCACTCCTGACTTTTAGGACCTCGCTTGACATGTCGCGAGGTGTCTTTACATGCGCCACTCTAGCGAAGTATCAGTCAAGTTTTTCTATAGTTTCAGACACTGCGCAGCGATTTTAATTTACGGTTGCGGGGGGAGGTACTTTCTGATTATTATCGTATTGATTTTTTTTGTTCCAAAGGTCGTAGGTTCGATTCCCATCGTGGTCAGGCATATTTTTCAAGCTTGCCGAGTGTGGATAAACACTCAGAGTAAGTGAGTAACATCGCAAGCATGATTATTGTATTGTAAAAGAACAATTACACAAGTCAAATCGAGCGCTACTATGCCTTGAAAATCATGTTGGCAAGCTTAAATTAAAAGCAGAAAACTAACATGTTTCACTTAAGTTTTCAAAGCTGATAATTTTGGTTAAGCCAATGGTAGTGCCACGTAAAAAAGCAGAGATTTATTCAACCTTGCATGCAAGTATATAGCCAGCATACTGCAACAATTGCAGTATACACTTAATGTCTGCTCCTGAGGGAAATAATTAGTTTTGTTTTCCCGAGAGTCTCATTGAGATTCGAGGGAAAACAAAAACTAACTATTTCCCGAGGGAACAGACGTTAAGCGTTTTGTTATATAGCGACAAACAAAAATCAACATTCAACAACATTCATACAACAATTGTATTTCGTGACAAACTCTATAGTGTAAACGAGTTTAAAATTAAAAGAACCTACTTAAACGGTTTCAGCAGCATATGCTGTTGCCTGTTGTGTATTTTTCTTCTCTTTTACACTCTTTATTTGAACACCACTTTGGAAAACCGTAGTTTTTAATTATGCAAGTTGTGCCACATTTTGTTTATTTATGTACGTAGCCAGTCGGGGCGGACAACAATTTTTCACTTGCTGCCCAGCAGGATACATTGCATTTATCTGACCTCACGTGACCACAAATCAGCCAATCACGTTTAGTGTTCACCCTAGTTATATAACAATATTTATTATTATAGTACGAGTGCCGGTACCAATTTCCCAAACCAAGCATAAAAGCTAGTTATAGGGCATACGCGTTTATTGTATCATTTTATAATGTCATAATGTTTAATTTTTTTTCAATTTTCTAATATTCCTTTTTGTCCTGAATAACTGAACCATTTAGAAGAGAGAAATTGTTCCTTTAGATGTCTGCATGGCTTTTCAAATTTCATCCTAAAAGTTGGTGTAAACTAATGCTTCTCGGAGAATATTCCAGCTACATTTAAATCGGCATTTCATCTTCATATGAAAAGCTAAGAGTGACCAACCTGTACTGAATAGCGAGTAATATTTTGGTGTTCCCCATAGATATTATTTCCAAGGAGTTCGCCATGATGGTAGCAACTGTTGTTTCCAAATCTATCTACTCTTTTGAAGATTTCCTGTAGAAGTGGTGATAAAATTGTAATTATTCAATGGGTGGGTGGTACAAACTAAAGCGAAGCAGAAAGAAATTTCTTAATCTCCTGACTAAACTAACAAACCAAGACCTATATTAAACGTAAAAGATCATTAATGATTATTAAGATAAATACTAAATTTATAGATAAAAGGTACATACTTTCCACATTCCTACTAAAGTGGCCATCCCAGGAGCAACACTGAGACCTTCTTCATAAGGAAATGGCATAACTCCTTGTTCTTGTATGGAAACACGTACACCTGCTTCCTTGGTTAATGCTCCAATATACTGATCACCTTCGATATCAAGATGAAGACGTAAGCCTGGAGGGAATATGAAGGGGAAATGTGAAAATGCATGGCCAGAAATCACGGACATTTGCATTTCTCAGGTTTCATGTTACCACGCGCATCCGCGCAACAATGGCTTCGCAATGCCCTATGTTTATTATCATGCAGGCGAGCGGAGTATTTTCAATATAGCATGCTATATATAAATGTTAGAATATTTGTTAAAATTGGTTCAAGAAGTAGCGGTCGTATAGTAACACATTAAAAAAATGTTCTCATTACTTTGTATAGTCGCTCTGCTTTTTGCGATTGAATATTAAAACATTTTACCTCACGTTACATAGGAACTTTGAAGGTTTCTCGCTCAAACGGCAAAATCTCGTGATATATTCAATTATTGAAATTTGTTGAAATTATTTTATTTTGACGAATAGTATAGCCTTGCCTTCCGCCGTTTATTATTTTGTTACACCCGATAAAAGCTCTGCTTTTTTGTTTTGAAATTCGAAAGCCGGTGCGTTAATATGCAATTATCATATATATTACTTCGCGGTCAAAAAGTTATATCTCATTCGCTTTCTAAACTCGAAATATTGATTGCTTTGCTACATGTTTGGTACCAAAATACTCGTCAAAAGCTTCTCTTTTCATTTCAGTAGTTGTTGCTTAGCTACACGCTGCGCCTGGTACACTAAAGGCCACAACTTGAGTGCATACTTCATGCTTTGCTTTATAATTAAACAACACCCACGCGAATATTTAAAATTTCGGATGCTTTGACAGGGCGTAAAAGGATAATTAGGAATTCTTGTGGATAAACGGAAAAGCTGCTGACCGACAGGTACGCTTGCACAATGTCCGTCATTTCTGGCCAAGGAACAAATCTAGCTATTTAGTTATTTGAAGATTTGTATAGTAAGTAACCTGCCGGCTCAGCAAAAATTCAGTCCTTGTGCATGATATAGAAAAACAGACTGAGATGGCAAGGGCATTTTCAATTTTGATCTTATTTTTGGTGACAAATAAATGTAACGAAAATACCATACATTTGACACTTTATGACTTGACAGCATGTCATGCAGTTAGCATTGCCCATTCTTGCACGCGCTCGCGAAATCCATCTCTATATATACCGTATTCTGCATGTTTTCGCTCCAAGCACATTTTTCGATGTTCATGCAATGTCTTTGTCGAATTAACTGTAGCTTCTAAAACCACTACCTTCAAGTGGACCTGGTTTTGATGCATGGCATTGGTTTGTTTTCTTGATTGACGCCATTATTAAATGTGTAACAGTTGCCGTAAAAGTAGTCCCATCTTCGCGCGCGTCCAATACTTTCTCAATTCTCTGCAAAAACAATAAACACGTAAAATAGAATAGTAGTCATCAAAACAACATGTTAATATATATTATGCAATTGACAATTTAATATTCAAAATTTACGACCTGTTTATATCTTATCTTCAAAAACTCATTAATAATTCATGAAGCAATTATCCAATCTTGAGTAAGAAATTAGTCACGTGCATACGTCTTTATACCAGCTAAAGAACACTTTAACAAAAGACCATTGTTATGCAAACTATATAAAGATTTTTATATAAATATTTTTATATAAAGATTTTTATATAAAGATTTGTATATAAAGATTTGACTTATTATGCATACGTTTTTGAAGTCATTTAAAAAACTCGCGAGTCGTGTTTTATTAGGTCTAAAGCCTTTAAACCTAATAAAACACTCCTGCTCGTTTTTTAAATAGTACTTAACAATTTACCAGCAGATTCTCCAGCAAGAGAACATACAGATAATGATATATATACATATATACATACATACATATATATATATATATATATATATATATATATATATATATATATATATATATATATATATATATATATATATATATATATATATATATATATGATCTGCTAAAATCTAGCAGATTTTTAATTAACTATCTTGGATTCCTTTAAAATCAAATCAACTTAAACTTGCAAAACAAAATGCAAGTTATAAATTAAAGTATAAATATCAAATATTTATCGACATCACCATCATCAATTAAAAGTCTGCTAGATTTTAGCTGATCACGTGACCAGCTCCTGCCAGGGTCTTTCCTTCACAAAGGAACGAGGTTGGCTTTGGGGTGGCAATAAACTCATCATTATCTTATATCTTACCCAGTTTTGCAATCCCAACCTTTCCAAGTGCAATTGACCATAAAGTCGTCCAGTAAATGACCGCTGGAATAAATATAGTATGTGTAAGTCAACCAATCTTCTCAGTTTTGTCTGCTTGCTCACAATGTCGTCGATGTCATAATTTCTTTGAGCAGACTTCATCGGTATTTTGGCGTCGTTTATTAGTCACAATAATCAAAGTTTGCATCTAACTTTCTGCCTAAGATAAAGAATATGATGAAAGGCAGAATCCTTTCAATCCAAACAATAAAAACAAATTAAAAAATAATTATTTTTTATGAAATTATAATTATCGTCTCATAAAAACAACTAAAACGTATAAAAATGATGTATCTTGGAATGCCCCATGTAAGCTTTTCAAATGCATGCACATAGGAAAATGTCTTATCATAATTATAATAGCTAACATTTTTATCTTCATATTGTATTGAATTTTTATAACTCTACTTCTCTTTTTTTGTAAATATTATATACTACTGGGGTCGGTTGTACGAAGGTCGGATAGCGCTATCCACTGGATAGTGACTTTTTCAACCTTTGTAAAATGCTTGAAAAACTGTGAAACTACGGAAATTGACGACACAAAAAGTATAAAAAAACATTTAACTTATAAATACTAAACTTTAATACGAGTTGTACCAATCAACGACTGATTTATTACCAAAGCTTGAAAAAATCACTATCCGGTGGATATCGCTATCCGGCCTTCGTACAATCGGCCCCTGTACTCTAAACCATTTTCCCCCTTTATATCTCATTTGATATGATATATGTTGAACATACTGTAACTAGAGTAGAGGCCTAAATCAAAAGCCTATTAAGGTTTAATTCTAGCAGGTCTCTATAGCCCTATCACTTGCAAATATTATCTTCATTGTTTGGTTATTGTAATCTTATACATACGGACAGGGAAAATATAGCTGGGAAAATAATAACATAAAATAAAATTCATGATCACTATATTTGGAAAAGATATATCCTGCTTTCCAGTTATTCCTAGTAAGCGTTTTCTATACGTGCACACACGCACGGAAAAGTTTAAATCCATTAAAAAATTTCTTATGAAGTAATTAAATGAATAAGAGAACAAAATTTAGTTTTGTGTAGGATTTAATTGTTTTTGTTCAAGTAATTGGTGCAAAAATAAAATTTAGGAAAATATACACTTTTCCGTTCGTATGTAGCAAATAGGTACATGTCAAAAACGCGTAACTGCATGAATGTGACCTAATTTAGTATGAATTAGCAAATGTTGTATTGGATTCAAGACTGATTTTGAAACAACATTACAATGTTGCGGAATTTTTTGAGAATATCTGTATTTTTCGATATTGTGAAAACAAAATTTTTTCCCAGCGACGAAAATGTTTCCAAGAATTCTGAAACAGTTGCGAAAACAATATCTTAATAATAACAGTCTTTATTCATACTCAAGAACACCCGTCTGTGAGTTTACATTATAAAAATATATAAGATAAAATTATTGCTATATATTATTACTATAGATTTTTAGTATTTTTACACAAGTGAACATAACAAATCCTACACATTGATTGGTCAAATTTGACGTAATACTTAAGCTGTTATATTCATGCACCTATACACGTGAATATAACAAAACAGAAATTTTCAAAATGGCGGCTACCCGTTTTGTGGAAGTTTACTGACAAAGAAATAAGCAAAATTAAAATATATTCAGTCTCAAAAAACACGAAAGCTTGTGTAAAAATACTAAAACAATTATTCGCCTCATGCTCGGTGATTATAGGGGAATATTCACCTCGACTTCGTCTCGGCGAAAATTCCCCGATAATCACCTAGCCTTCGGCGAATGTTAAATATTTAGTATCGAACTTTCCCTTAGCCTCATTTTAATAATATATTCTTTTGTTTTTTATAATGACCATTAACAAGGCTTAAATTTAATTTAATACGATGTTTCGGAGTTTACTCCATCATCAGGTAAAAAACTACAATTTGCGATCTAAAACCGTTAAAACTATAATAAACGTCAACGCTTGTAACCGTTGCATGCTCGCGTCACAGAATAGGAAGTTATAGCAGAAGCGTAACTCTAGTCGTTTCCCTTATTGTTTGACGTCCACGAGAATTTTAACTCGCTCACGCCAATCCACATCATCCTGGCTAGTACAACCGGAAGTTTTTATCAGGTTTTGGTAGGTACAAAGTGCCGGTTGTACTAGCCAGGATGGCGTGATTGATGACGAATCGCTTGTAAAAACGCGGACAAATACTTGCTTGAGTTACGCTTCTGCTATACCTTCCTATTCTGTGCTCGCGTGCAAGGTTGCGCAAGCACATAGATTGCGTGTCCAAGAAAAATTAAATTACAATTAGAATTACAATAGTTAGATTAATAAGGACTGCAATTACTATAGTCTGTGTTTATTTACACCACAAAGTCCAAAATACTCAGCTGTTCGTATTTGCCATTCAAATCCGGTTTAAGTCGCTGGATAAACAAAGCTTCCGTAATTTTCGACTTCAAAGATCCCGTTGTTTTTTTAATATTTTAACCGAGAGCTTTGGTTTTTGACCAAGATGGTGTTCTTTATAATGTTTGAAAAACGCCATGACCATTTTGAATTATTGGGGGGTGTTACCCCCCCCCCCCACACACACACACACCCCTGTAGCGACGTCCCTGTTTGCAGTTGGGTTTGCTGCAGAGCGGTAATGTTCCTGATATCGGACCACTAATGGTCTATACTTGTTACGCCGATATAAGATGTTCCGCAAAGATCACAACTCAATTGATAGACTGTATCTTTCTGTGAATATTTAATTGGAGCAGATGAGGTTCGGCAAATTGGGCATTTTTTGGCATTCTTGCATTCTTTGTCATATGGTCGAGGTTCTACCAGAAGACTTTTGAGGGAACGTTGTGGTCATTGAACTATGCGAACATTGAGATTCGATCGTTGAACCGCTCTTTTGATGTCTTTTGTGAATTCCTTTTTGGTTCCTGTTGCCTTGTTTTTTCTTTCTTTCACCTTATTTATATATCTTGTATCATATCTATTTCTATAGTAATTGCAGTCCTTATTAATCTAACTATTGTAATTCTAATTGTAATTTAATTTTTCTTGGGCACGCCAATCTATATGCTTGCGCAACATTACACGCGAGCATGCAACGGTTACAAGCGTTGACGTTTATTATAGTTTTAACGGTTTTAGATCGAAAATTGTAGCTTTTTACCTGAAGATGGAGTAAACTCCGAAACGTTGTATTAAATTAAATTAAAAACTTAACCCTTGTTAACGGTCATTATAAAAAACAAAAGAATATAGATTTATAGTAATGCATATTGTTTGCAAATAACGCACGTTTCAGGCGTAACAATATTTTCAGGTTTGTCCAGCACTAAAAGTTGTTTTAGAAAATGAAAAATCTCCGTTAAAACAAATTGCAGAAAGCATGGAAATTTCCCGCGTGCAGAGTGAAGGATATACAACTAACTTAAAAATCGTCCACGCGTTTCGAGTGAGGACCCCTCCTTTGGAAGTTACTAGTTAAACTAACTTAGGCACGTTATATACGTCGAATTTTAGTCGCTTCGAATGCAATTCAAACAATAGATAACGAGATGATAAACGGAACCTCATTAAGCTTCATATATTCTTTAAATTGCATTCGACACGAACGAAATTCGAAGTATAAAACAGGCCTTAAGAACTTTGACTAACTTTCCAACGAAGGGCCTTCGCTAGACTTTCCAAAGTCCGCGGTTCGTGGTTTCTGGAAGCGACGGACTTCTGTCACCCGCAAGCGCGCCAAATTCACCGGTGCATTTTTGCTCCGGTGACGTCAGTGAATGCTCATTATTATTCTGTACTAACGACGCCATTTTGTAAAATTTATATTTAATATAAACAGACGCGAATCGTCGAAAATTACTGTAAAAATCTCTAGCTAAAAAATAAAATGGATATAAATTCAAAAGTAAAAGAAGCTGTAAGTTATGGTAGTAAAAAACTGGGTTATCAATCGTTAAGAGAAATTCAACAGTAAGAATTGATATTCGCGCCAAATTTTTCAGTAAGATTCAAAATCAGGCAAGTGGCACAAGTCGCTCGCTTCCGTCTTTCTCAAGCGCTCCCTTCTTGCTACGCGCGGTC